ATCAGCGCTGGTTAAAGCTGCATCGCTCTGCTGGGTAGGGCTTAGTGGAACGGGATGCATTTGAGCTTCAGTCCGTGGTAGACTCTGAGGTGGTTGCAGGTGGCTGCAGAAGCACTTAGCGTGGTGTACAGGGACCGAAATGTGATCTAACACCTTTTGTTCTAGCAATTAGGTATCTCAGGATGCTAATTTTAGAAATAGAATTGAGCTGGTAGGAGCCACAAATAGTGGATGAAACCTTGGTGTTCCCTTTGGTGGAGAGAGTGTTGAGCCAACGTTAAATGAATGAAAAAACCAAAACCCAAACCCCAAACAGAAAAAGATCCGTAGAAGGGTTTTCTTGACAAGGATTTAGTACGTGTGAACAAAGCTCTAGAGGTGGAAACCTGACCCCACAAACCCACCAAGCTCCCATCTCCAAGGCAGACTCTGAGCATGATTTGGGACAAGTGGGTCTCCTCTCTAAGGCAACATGGAAGTCAGGGGGATGCTTGGAGAGTAGAGGGAAAAAAGCCTGGAGAAATGGAGGCTGAGAGGAGACCTTATCGCCCTCTACAACTGCCTGACAGGAGGTTGTAGTGAGGTGGGTGTTGGTCTCTGCTCCCAGGGAACGGGCGATGGGATGAGGGGAAATGGCCTCAAGTTGTGCCAGGGCAGGGTGAGGTTGGCCATGGGGAACAATTCCTTCCCCTTGGGGCTGTCAGGCACTGGAAGGGGCTGCCCAGGGAAGGGGTCGAGTCCCCAGCCCTGGGGGGATTTAACAGCCGGGCAGCCGAGGTGCTTAGGGCCAGGGTTTGGGGGTGGGATGGCAGGGGTAGGGGAACGGTTGGACTCAATGATCTGAAAGGTCTTTTCCAACCTAAACAATTCTGATTCTATTATTCTATTCTAGGGATCCAGGTGGGACAATTGTACATGTTCATAAGCAGGTTGTAGGACACACAGAGAACTGGGTTATGGAAAAGCACATTCAAAGGACTTTCCTAAATGCTTGATCCCAGATTTCTTCAGGTGCCTTCTCCATCACAGCCAGTAGAGGTGTTTGCACTGATTTCAGTAGATGACTTCTGGTGAGGGGAGAAGGACAGGTCTGTTGATGAGCAGGAGGGCCCGACCACCCGGCGTCTGCTGTGGCCTCGGGGGAAAACAACACATGTTGATGTTGGCCATCGCATGAATCTCCCTCACTTCTTCAGGGGCATTTTTTACACTTGTGTTTTGCCCTCAGCATTTCTGCAGTGCTGGGCTGGCTGGGCTCTTGCAGTGCTCTGGAGTGATTCTGCTAATGGGATCTGACCTGATGGCTTTGCATGTTTTAAGTAAATTAAACACAGCTGCTAGGAAAATCCAGTAACCTTAACAGCACCATGGCTCCGTTGTCTGCATTGTAATTACAGCGGGAACTGCCTGGAAGTTCTACTTTCTGGTTTATTTTTAAATAACTTCTGAGCTACCCTTTGATCAACTGCTTCATCCCCAAGTTCTGCCTGTCCTCTTCCTTCTTCTGGGTTTAACCCTTGCTTCTTCTTCAAGCATCCATCTCATGGCAATTTATGTCAGTCGCAAATGCAAGCGGCTGATTGCAAAAACAACACTCTTCCCTGAATGCATCCTACAATTTTGAGCTGAGGGCGAATCTGGGGAGAAAAATTTTAAGGCAGAGCTTATGGGGCGAGTGAATACCACAGGCGTTAAGAGAGAAGTGTTTTAGGGATGCTGGGGAAGTGCATCTTGAAACATGCAGCTTTTTTTCTGTTGCTTCAACCGAAACCCTTTGTACCCCTTCAGAGAGATGGGTTTTTTCTCACAGTACAACACTTTAATCAGAAGCAAAAGGGGTTAGGTTTTTTGTAGGAAGCAAAACTAGGAGCCTAATTAATTTTCCCTCGTCAACCCATGGGTGGAACCCATGCCTGCAAGAGCGAACGATCAACTTGCAGCACGGGCGTAGCTGCATGCTCCGTCCCTTCATTAAAAACTCACACCATCTTCACTGCATGGTCTGCACGGGCTTAAGTTTCTGGAGGAAACCCAGGCTCAAGGAAATGACTTAGGGTTTTGCATCAAAGCTTGCAAAAGGGCTCAAAAACCAGCTGAATTTTAAACATGTCCCAGTGCAAGGAGGGAGGCTGACTCAGCACCACGGGATGCTGGTCTGCCTTGAGGGCACCAGAACTACAGCTCCCCAACTGTGCTCAAGGGCACATCATGTTTGGTTAGAGAATCATAGAATCACTGAATGGTTTGGGTGGGAAGGGACCTTTGAAGGCCATCTAGGCCAACCCCCCTGCAATGACATCTTCAACTCCATCAGGTTGCTCAGAGCCCCGTCCAACCTGACCTGGAATGTTCCCAGGGACGGGGCATCCACCACCTCTCTGGGCAACCTGTCCCAGTGCCTCACCACCCTCATCGTAAATCATGGTTCTGGCTACCCTTCATCCCGCTGGTACATGGGATGAGCCATCTCCTCGCGATCTGAGGGTACTTCAACAGAGCCGTTGGCCAGCTTGATTTCCAACCTGGCTTCTTTTCCCTTCCACCGGGCTGGCCAGGACAGGCAGATCTCCGCTGTGATGCCCTGGTCTGCTCTCCCATCTGCTGCCTGCAGCGTGTCGTCGTATATCCGTGTCGGAAAAGCAAAGCGGGTGCCTGTACGTTTGATCTGGGCGAAAGCACTGAGTGAGTGTGATTGGGGTTGTAAAAGTTTATGAGATTCTGTGTTTTATGGTAAATTTTAAATTGACTTTGCAATCAGGGGACATTAGAGTTTGTAAAAGAAAGTCGGTGTGATGTGTTGCAGAACACAAGGTGGTAATTTCCCCTCTTATATTGATGCTATCAACAGTAAAGAATGAAGCAGCTGCTTCTCGGAGGATTGGTTTTTTAATGCATTCGATTTATGTAATTTATAGACTATTATTTATTACGTGGGGTTTTTCCCCCTTTACTGCCTTTCCCTCTCCCTCCATTACTAGAATAATGCAGCACCATCTTATCTACCACTTTTAATCTGTGGATTTCAAAGCCCGTTCCAACCACGGCCGACATCATTGTTTCCATTTTCACACAGGACAGGGAAAATTGAGGGCTGGAGATGGGAAAGGATGCCAGCCCGAAGACACAGCCAGGCCACTCCTTCTCCTGAGCATGATCCACGCACTCATTTCTCCCCGGGTTGGGAGGGATGAGCTGTCTCAGGGCATTTTTGGCTGGAAGACACGGTCCCTGGCAAACCCTGGTCCAGCAAGGAGAACCCTGTGCCACCACTCTGCCCGTGTGGTGCCCTGGCATCTACCGTGCCACCGTCTACCCACGCTGGCACCATCGGGACCCTACAAGCCAAAGCACCCTTTATCATAGAATCGTTTAGGTTGGAAAAGACCTTTAAGATCATCAAGCCCAACCAGTAACCTAACACAAAAACGAGTAGCCATTAAAAACGGCAATAATCCTCACAAACGCTCTCCTAGGCGATGAGACATCTGCGTGTGGCAGTGCAGGATAGATGTGCCTTTTCAAATTACATTTATCGAGTGGGTTTTTCTGCAGGGACCTGGTTCCCTTGGCGCCAGTGGGCTTCTCCAGGACACTGCCCTATTTGAGGCCGCACAGACTTTCAGGGAAAGTTGCTCTGTTCATTGACAGAAACAAGGTTTTTAGCTGAGCAGAATATTTTCTGGTGAGGTGGGATTCATATGTTGGCATTTAGATACCTGGATGGTAGCCACCTCTTCCCTAGGTGCTCAGGCTGCCTTCACCATCGATGGAGAGCAGTAAGCACAATTTCAGTGGTGTGGTTTCCCTTCCCTTCTCCTGCTGTAGCTTCTCTCCTTTGCTGATGGACTCTAGCTAACTAGCCTAGTCTAGCTAACTAGCATTTTTCTGCAGGTGCACGAGGGGTCTGTGACCCTGGGTGCCTCCTTCCCACCACACATTTCAGTGTCTCGACATAAAACTGAATGGCTGGAAGGAGAATTATCCCTAAAAGGCAGCATGGCATGGGATTTGCACACCCGATGGCGTGTGCTGTGGTGTTCTACCATGGCTGAGCTCTGCAGTTGCACTGCTGGTGCTGACACACCATGGTCAGATGTCTTCTTACCTACCTCTTTGCACCTCCAGAAGTGATGGGGCCACCCCAGTCCTCCCACCTGACTGGTGAGCATGGCGGAAGGGAGCTAGAGCTTTATTTTTGTGGATGATGAAGGGGCCAGTCTGTCATTTCATCGCTACCAGGGCACCTCAGATGCTCAGGCTGGCACGGGAAGGCAGCACTTCATAGTTTTCTCCTCATCTCCACTGAAGCTGGGGTTCGCCCACGTTTCTCTCTGACAGCACGGCAGTGTTTGCCTGCAGCTCCCTATTTTGCTTGCGGTTTCTAAGCCTGCTAGAAAATGGTTCTGGCACCTTCCTAATTCACTAATGAGTCTGGTGAGGTCAAAGACTCTTGAGAGCGTATGAAGGAAACGGGCAGAGTCCTCTGGGAGGAGCCTGGGGTCACCCAGGCATGAGGGGAGATGGGAGATGAGCTCTTCCCCCGGCTTCGGCTCATTCATTAAGGCTGAATCACAGCAGAGGTGTTTTATGATGTTTGGTTTTCAGACGTGCCAAGGAGATGAAAAAATCTGATTGCAGAAGTCCTGGGCATTTTAAAGTAATATTTGATGGGGATTTATTGAAGATGCTGTAATACAGCCTGTAGCAGCATCTGCTTTCCAGATTAACGGAGGGCTTGCAAACGGCACTTCGGAAGCAACCTCCAAGATTATTTGAAAACTAGAGAGCAAATTCCATTTGGTGAATGATTCATGACATGGCTTTGCCTATCAAGTTGTTCTTTCTCCTTTCTGTGGCGGATTTATTCTCTTCAGTGATATTATGCAGGAGGCACACAAGCACCGTAACCATCCTGGACGTGTTTATGTGCCAGGACCATGCCACTCATCACAGCAGGGGCCTGAGGGTGCAGAGCTGGAGGGCATCCGCTTCTAATGCAAATGGGGCTTATTTTGGAGCTGTTGAATCTTGGACCGGGAGCTGGAGGTGGGCTGCAGTGGAAAATAAAAATATGAACTGATCTGCTGGTGTAGCTGGTGGATATCGGTCAGTGCAGTCAGTGGAGTTTGGAGGATGTTTCACACCCCAGAGCAGATAAGTGATGTTTGAGGAACTGAATACCTCTTGTGGAGACCTCAGGTTGTGCTGACTGCATCCCCATGGACCGCAATAAGAGCTGGGAAAACCAGCACCCATGGAGGTCATGATTCAGCTGCTAGACAGAAGCGTCTTAAGACGCATTATTTAGCCTCCAGCTGTCAATCAAGAGGGCTGCAGGTCCAGGGACATATCTGGCAACGCCAAGCATGGGTCTTGGGTAGCTTAGGGAGTCCAAATAGGCAACTAAATCCAGGATTTACATGTGGGCACCCCAACTGAGATGCCTTAATCTGGAGCTGAATCCTACCTGGCATTGCTGGGGACTGGTGCAGATTCATCAGGCTGTCCCTGGGTGTCAGATCAGGGCTACACCATGCTTTAGGTGAGCTAAATTCTGACTGCTGGCTGGTCAGGGCTAGCGCATGGATGGACTCTTTGGAGGATGGTCCATGGGGAGTATCTGAGTGCTTGTTCTGTTGGGGATAGGGCTGTCCCCGGTGTAGACACCCTGGAGAAGGGCTGTTTCTTCATGCGGGGTTGACCTCAAGAGCAGGACAAGCATGCTCCATCACCAAGCTGCTTGGGGCCCATCCTTCCCAGCTCTGCAGCTCACCCCAGCCAAGGGATGGAGAGGTCAGTGTGCTAAAGAGAGGCAGAAGCTCCCCTTCTGGAGTCACATGGTGAGAGGAACAGACCCACAAGTGAGCTGATGTGGCAATGTTGGTGATGTATTCAAGGAGGGTAATTAGAAACCTTGACGTCGTATCCGGGAGGGTGTGTTCGATTCATCTAGAAACCACCCCAAAAAGCTAAAAGGCACCTTGTGGCTGAGGGGGAAGCCACAGGCAAGCCTGTTTGCTTTAGAGCTTTTCATCCTGCATCTGTTTTGGGAATGGGAGAACGAAGCCTGGGCTGCTCTCAGCATTGCCCATACTATTTTGGAAAATGCTACAAGGGCACCAGGGCATCCTCTCCGGCTCCCTGTGTGCTGGCTCGGAGGGTGGGCCACGAGCGTGGTTGTTCACAGGCACTGTTCTTCAGGACCTTCTTCATGGCAATGGGTTAATGAAAGCGTAACTCAGGTGCAACCTTTGCTTAGCCCAGAAACTCCCATTTATAGCCTCATCCCATGAGGATTCTCCTGAGCCTCAAACACTGATTTTTTTTTTTTTTTAGATGTTGCATTGCAAGCTGTTGTGTCCCTGAGTTCCCCTTGGCACGGGGAGAACCCGCAATGCAGGACTCTGCTTGTAGAGAGAGGAGACAACCTTAAGTAGAAGCTAAAGCTGAAGCCCAGCATCGCTCAAGGGGAAACGTGGTGCCCCCCCCCTGCCCTGAGGCCGGGAGGAGGTTGTGCATCGACCTTAGCAGAGCGGATGAGCTCCGGCACAATGCCAGGTCGTTGCGGGATTTTTGCAGCCTTCCCTGGGAATTTTGCTTAAAATAAAGACGACGACGCTCACCCACGTGGGCGTGTTGACAGTGGCCTGCATTAAGCTCTTTGCCCCCCACTTTTGGCTGTTGAGCAGCAAACGAGCCATTAGTCATCGGCGGTGGCCGTGGCTCATCAGTTAATGATCTGAACTGGGGCCGGGGCTAAGGAAGGAGGTCGTGCTTAAGTGCACAAGGTCAGAGCAGCTGGATGCTCTTGAAAGCAGATGGACTCATTAGCTGCAGAGAAGTCCCCTTCTTGGGGCTGATCATGGCCCCAGAGCTTGGCCAGCTGCACGGCTGCAGTACCGGGCTGGTCTGCAACCACTGTGTGCTCTACCTGTGCTCCATGCATTGCTTACTGGCTAAATTTCCTCCTGATGGTCGTAGAAGCATGAAAAAGAAAAACACGGGCCATCACGAAGGTTATCCTCTGTGGGTTTTCTCTGGTCCTTGAGTGTGCACGCATAGCGATTTTCTTACCACTTTAATAAAATGGGTAGGCTGGTCAGAGCCTCTTGGTTCCTCGGTCCCAGGACAGCCATCCAGCTGTCAAGCTGACTTGAAAAAATGTTGTTGGCACTTTCCCATGGGGGAGAATCCCATAAAAGCTGTCACAAGACCCAGGTGGATACAGTCACCTTATAAAAGGAGGGATAGGGTGGGAGAGAGTTCCCAGTTGCTTGCCTGTGTCATGGGTAGTGGGAACTAGCGTTGGTGGACCCTGCCCCAGTAAACCCATGCCAAGGGCTGCCTGGAGAAGGAAGGGAGCAGATGCTGGGAAAGGAGGAGATGCTGGGGTGAGGAGATGCTGGGGTGATTGATTCAGTTGGGATCCGCTCAGGGATGCTGGGAAGAGGAGGCAACGTCTCCATCACCAGCTGCTCAGTGATAGCTTGCCTTGATTTCAACCTTCTCATGCAAAATTTATGGAATGGGAATGCACTGCATTGGCTCTGCCCGTGTCAAATGCGGCAAATTCAGAGACTGCACACAATAAACAGCCATTCCCTCTCTTTGAGTGACTCCCAGTTGACTGCACACCACTGAGTACCTAAAGGGGGCCCATAGGAAAGGTGGGAACAATCTTTTTAGCAGGGCCAGCTGGGACAGGACAAGGGGGGATGGTTTTAAACTAAACCAGGGGAGGTTTAGACTGGATCTAAGGAAGAAATTCTTTCCAGTGAGGGTGGTGAAACACTGGCAGGGGTTGCCCAGAGAGGGGGTGGAGGCCCCATCCCTGGGAACATTCCAGGCTAGGTTGGACGGGGCTGTGAGCAACCTGATCTGGTTAAAGGTGTCCCTGCTCTGTGCAGGGGGGTTGGGCTGGGTGACCTCTGGGGGTCCCTTCCAACCCAAAGCATTCTATGATTCTGTGATTCTGTGTCTTGGCAGAGAGATCCCTTTTCCCGCTAGTTGATGGGGAACCCCTTTACCCTGGCCAAATCTCAGGTACAAACCCAGTTTAGGGACTGGTGTGAGCTGGTGGTGCCAATTTGGGGGGAAATACCCCAGATCATGAGTTCATTGCTTCTTTTGCATGCAAATACCACTTC